GGCAACGACTAGATGGAACCCAACAGCAACAACAAACTTTAAAGAAAATGGTTTTCTGTGCTGTGGAATGAGCTCTGAGCTGCTAATCACAAGATTGTCAGTTCAAATCCTCCAGTCACTTCATGGGAAAAGGAAGAGGTTGTGGGTTCCCATAAAGATTTATCGTCAGAAAACCTAATGAGCAGTTCTTTGCTGTTCTACATGGATGATATGAGTCGGAATTGATTTATTAGCAGTGGATTTGTGTATATACACACACACTCACACAGATTATTTTTCTTCAGTACGGCACTGTATGTTCTTACTTTTATTTATTACTGTATTATTATGCATAAGTTATTGTAGTGTATTAAGAAGTGTTTTTAAACCATTTTATTAGGTGCTATCCAGATATCATATCATTTCATAGTTCAATCACATAAAATCAGTATTGTACACTTGCTACCATTAATAGTTTCAAACACTGTCTTCCTTCTTGAATTCCTTGATCTCATTGCTCCTTCATTCCCCACCTCCCTCACCATCCCCCCAAGGAACCCTTAGTCTAATTGCTGTCTTTATTGGCTCATCACTCTTCGGTGTCATATACCGAAAACCAGAAAAACACATAACAAAGATTCAAGAAGGCTACCCAAAATGACAAAATACATCAGAGGTCAATGCCAATATAAAACACACACACACACACACACACACACACAGAATATTGAAAACCAGATCAGGCCCAAAGTGCATCAGAGCAGGGAAGAAGTATTTCATATGAATGGAAACACAGCATGAAATGTATACTATATTCTAAGACAAGCATTTGACTAACTTCCATTAAACATGACTGTTCTGATTTACCTACATATTCAACATCAAGACAGACACAGTAAGGAATTTTGTTTGTAACTAGGGGATTCCTTGTGTATGTTTAACTTCTGGGCCTTTGTTATTGCTGATTCCTTTTATCCGAATTTGCTCTGCCATTTTGTCGGTCTGGATAAATCTTGTTGATTGTTCAATGCTCAGCATAAATATCACGTCCACTTGGAAGACTTCCCTATAGCTGTTTATACATCTGAAGTTTACCTCTATAGCTTTTATAAAATTGCATCATAATCATTGATAACTCCTTATGTTTCCCACCAGATAAATAATCATTTCCTAGCCAAAAGGCCAATTTCTTCTTCATAATTTCACTCAGTATTCATTAACCCAAGGCTTTAGATAGAATTAGCTTCAAATCTTATATCTGACACGTATTTATTGTAGCACTTGAGCAGTTCACTTATCCTATTAAGCTTTAGTGTCTTCATAAATAAATGAAGATGTTGGGCAATAATAATAATAATAATATTAAAAGAAGATGTTGAGCTAACAGATATTTTGAACTCAGGATATAGTAAATGTTCACTATTCTGATGATAACTATGATGTTAATGATAATATGCAACAAATATTTGGTCAATAAAAATATAGCTAACTAAAAAACATTCACCATTATTAAAATTTATTTCTATGGGGCTATGTAATTCAAGTTCCCAGCAACTGCTTCAAAGCTGACACTGAGAACTTATAGTGATGCGGGACAATCCCATAACCTTTTTTTTTTTTTTTTTTTTTATTTTTTTTTTCCCGTCCCCCCAATCCCATAACCTTTACTGGTACTTTTCTGAGGGAGTTCTGATGAGGATGGGGATGATAAAGTTGCCGAAAACTAAACATCTTCTGTTTCTCAAGCAGCAGACACGCTCTAAGAAGTCCAGGTGGCATACTTAATTAAGTTCTGGACCGCCAAACACACGGTTGGTGGCTTGAAAACATCAGGTGTTTCATGAGAGAAGGATGAGGCTGTCTGCTCAATAAAGAGCAACCATCTCAGAATCGGAGAGAGTAGTGTTACTCTGCCTATTGGGTGCTTTGCATCTGACTCGATTTGTAGGCACGCTCAATAGCACCACCCCTGTCCGATCATTGCTTTATGTTACACCAAGCCCAGGAAAAGATGAGGAATTCAGAGATGGGAAGGCCCACAAAAAGCCTTCAAGATCAAAATGTAACCTGAAATATTTTGCAGCTGATGGTTACAGTGACATAAGCCTAATTTTAAAGAGCATATAAAATATATTGGCTCTGGGGCAGTGTCTTCCAGAATATTAATAAAAAGACAAACCCAAAAACCATTGCTTGATTGGTTCTAAAGGGATATTACAAACTTCAGATAATAAAAAGAGAAACAAATGTTTATTTAACACTTTTAAATAAGAAAGTTAACCTAAGGTTGAAATAAAAAAAAAAAATCCCTCTTTAAATCATTGCAAATTGTGGTGTGCACAAAGACATTGCAGGTCAAAAGAACTTGAAGTATTTTTTTCCAAAGGAAAACACTTTTTGCTTTTTAGCTGGCTATTGACTTAGGCAGCAGGGGAGGGAAGCATTACATTGGAAAACGAGAGATTTTAAAATAAACCATTGAAAACACGAGCATACCCATGTTGGCTGCTGAATGCCCCAATTGTGAAAAATATTGATGTTAATGATGGTAATTATGACCGTTGAAAAGTATCTAAATAAAAAAAAGACAAAAGCTGCTTATGAAGTGCTATCATATAATTTGTAATGATTAACAGAGAAGCACCTAATATGTTTGGTGCAATATTTTGAAGGTCATGCAACTATCCACTTGCCATAATGCCATTCAATTAAACATGCAATAAAAATCTAGGATTGTTTATGGGGAAAATAATGTGGTGTCTGTAGAATAGTATATTACAGAATCTGGCTGTATGTTCAAGCAGAAGAGCCTGATCTAATGCACCATTAAGCAACTGTAGCTTTGCTCTATATTTTTTAAACATTAAACTAATTATGATGGGGCTTGGTTCCACTATCTACTGCATGTTTAATCTTTTTTAAGAGCCTATCAAATTGAATCATGAGATACAAGTTGTTTATGCTATAACCAAACACATGCAATATTAACAATGTACAATATGCTGGCTTAATTAGAACAAGTCCATGTTGTCTTAAATACATTTAGGAGTATAATACCACACAGTTCTAATTTAAACTTACCATTTAATTATATTTTAAAACTAATTTATAAGACTTAAGATTTTTGCTTTCTACTATACAAAGTATTGGTCTATTAACCCAATGAAAATGAGCTGCTACGAGAAATGAAAGAGAAAGTAAAAGAGATTTAGAACTGCTTGAGAGGAAGAAAGGCATCCTTCAGGTGGATACGACAAGAAATAACTTAAAATAAATTACTAAATGCTGGACGTTTATCAAGTCAATGGGTTCTCTGGCATCCAACAAGTAGCCTTTCTAGCAGTCTCTCTTTGGATTAGAGTCTAATGTTCGATAAGGAAGATCTACTTTTTCGGCAAAAGAATGCCTTTCTAAATCTTTTCCTCTTCTTTGTCTTTCATTATTTTCATTTCCTGCAACTTGGGTGTGCAAGATAAAAATCCTCAATCCTTTAATACCATCTCTATATTTAGGTTGTTACTGCTACACACCATCAAGTAAGTGACTTAGATGCCATCAAGTAAGTACAACAGAACGAAACACTGATTGGTTCTACATCATCTTCAAAACCATTGTCATGTTTCAGCCCGTGGTGTTAATCAATCTCATTGAGTCTTCCTCTATTTGCTGACCCTCTACCAATCTTAATGCTCTTATTTATAAGGAGTGCTTTTGACTATACTTCTTCTGAGACACAGTCCATGATATGTCCAATGTTTTTTTACCAGCACCATAATTCAAAGACATCAATTCTTCTTAAGTCTTTGTTAACCATTGTGCAGCTTTTACATGCATATGAAGTGATTGAAAATGCCAAGCCTTGAGTTAGGCACAACCAACATGGCATATACTCCTTTTCATACCTCAAAGAATTCCTTTGCAGTTGCTTTGCCCAAGGGAAGGTATCTTTTTATTTCCTGATTGTTGTTTCTATGAGGGATGATTGTACAGCCAAGCAGAGTGAAAACTTGACAACTTCAATCTTTACTCTGTCTATCATGATGTTGTCTATTGGTTGAGCTGTGAAGATTTTTTAATGTTGAGGTGTAACGTATAATGAAGTCTATGGTCTTGGATCTTCATCAGCTAGCAAGGTTGTGTCATATGCACCCCTGATTAATGAACCTTCCTGCAATATCATATTCTTCTTCTTCTTACAGTCCTGTGTCTCAGATTATTTGCTCAGCCCACAAATTGAATTTACATATCCGATATGTATAGTTAAAGGATGCAACAGCTCTTATTTTAAACCATACTGTCTCTCCTTTTTCTATCTAAATGACTTACTCTTGGCCTCGGACTAGGTTCTCCATGGACAAAATTAAGTGTCCTGGAATTTCTATTCTTCACAATGTTGCCTATATATTTTTTCATGATCTTTTGCCTAGCCATGTATATTTAGGTCATCAGGTTCTAGGAAAGATATCAGAAGGTGAAACGCAACTGTAGAAGGTGGGTATTAGGAAGGTCTCCTGCTATGGTCCCTAAATGATTGACTCTACTTATTGAACATTACAGTTTTCTAGCTTTGTTCTTGTCAATCTTTAACATCTACACCAAAAATAAGATATAACAAGGAATTATAAATAATTTGACCATCAAATATAAAATGGTTAGGTCAAACTTATATTACTCTCTGCAGTTGAGTCAATTTTGACTCAGCAAATCTAAGAGACACAGTTAAACTGCCCCTTTGGTTTTAAAAATTGTATATCTTTACTGGAGGAGAATCTTTTTCCCATGGAGCAGTCAGTGGGTTCAAACTGCTGAGTTTTAGCATCCCTACTTACAACTCACTGCACTACCGAGTATAATTTAGCTTTTTCTTTTCTCTCTTTTTTTTAATATCATGAAATCAAACATAGAGCAGATTAATTTGTAGACTTTAAACTCAGAATTAATTTTCATAATAAAACACATGGTAATTACCTCAGAATTCAATTTTTACAGCAAAAGGCAAAAATAAATGAAAGACAACTTACCTTTACAAATTGTGACACCATTTCCTGAAAATCCCACTTTGCAGTAGCAGGCTTCCACTCCATTCTGTAGTTCACATTTTGCATTGGGGGCACAAGGTGTTTTGATGCAATTTTGTGTATAGGTAAAATCCAGCAAAGTGGAAACACCCACTAAATAGAAGAGAAACACGCACTTTTTTTCAAAAAGATAAAACCTCTGATGGTTGTTGAGTTAAAACACAAGTTGTCAGCAGTACTATTGATGGCCTCTTAGAATCTTTTTCTGCTTAACATTTTTAAAATACTTTTTTTTCTCTCCATTTAGATAAATGGATTATGAGAATATTCCCAAAAGAACACTTAGCTAAATAAGAGCGCACGAGCTGGTAAACAAACAGATAAAGCCTTTTTTGTCATTCTCCAATGTATCAAATAAATCTCAACTAAGCTAAAATATAGTAAACAACCCAACTGTCTAAAGCAAACAGCCTTCTGAAGATCCTTTCACTGTAGACATCAACTACATATCCGACTTTCAGCTGGAGTGAGATACTTTTGAAAGTGGCTCAACCTGATTATAAAGCAATTTCTCTCACTAGGAGTGTTTCTGTGCAGAAATAAAAGGATCTTGGGTATCCTAATTCAAACCTTCGCAGTTTAGAAGGAATAACAACCCTAACATCCCTGGGGACAAATATGATTGTGCTCTGTTCTGCGCTCTCATATCAGTTTTAACTTTATCTTTTCAATAATAACATTTCTTTTATGTTTTCTTCTATTAGGATAAATTAAAACAAAATAACGGGAGGCAAAAAGATTGATTTTTGTGAAACAGAACACCATACACATATGGCCTGGATTAGAAAAAAGAAAAAAGAGATCATTTTATTTCTGTGTGAATATGAAGTTGGAAGTTCTGTTCGGATAAGATAAGGAAAAGCTCACCAAGACCTTCCCTTTTTATTGTTGGCCCAGGCCTTGTCAAGAGAAGCCTGTCCAGTGGTGGACAATTATGAATCATGCAAGTTATTGTTCTGAAAATAGTCACCTCCGATAAATGGTCCTCGTCTCATACCAAGAACCCCTTAAGCATTTAATTCTCAATCCCAGCCTCGTTAAGACAATATAGGCTGTCTTAACTAAATTAATTCGCCTTGGCGATGAGATTGATTATCTTCCTTGACAGAGTCATGAAAACGGCATTTGAATGCAACCCAGGCCGGAGCTGGAACGCCCGGAAACCTCCAGCAGGTGTGCATGTTTAGACATGACACGTTTTTTGTGGAAAGATCAGACGAAAGGTCTCCGTGTGACACTTTAGGACTATTAGAGACCTTTAACAGAGATCAAAAATAAAGGGAAAGAAAGAGACTCCCTAAAGAGTTCAAAGGCCAAGGAGAGAAATATCCTGAGAAGTTCTCTTCTTGCAGGATCAGCCAAGATCTCCAGGCAAGTACATTGTACCTTGTGCAAGTCCCTTCCCTACAAATGACCCGCCCTGCCAGCAGCCCCTGGACCAGGGTCTGGCGCTCACCTAGCAGCGACAGGAGTTTCATGGGAGGCAGCCCGCAGCGCCGAGGTGAGCAGCTGGGCACCAAGCGCAGGCCTCAACCGGGGACTGGGCAGGGCGGAGCGGCCGCCCCAGCCTCTGTCCCCTGTGACGCGATGGCTTCCTCCGGACGCTTTCCGGCCTCCTTTGTGTGAATGTGTGTGTGTTCAGCCCAGTGGCTTCAGGCCACTTCCGTCCTCCTGCCCCTTCCCCCACGCTGCTCAGGCTTCACTCTGGCCCTTTGGAACCACCCCCCTGGGCCCTAGTGCAGACCCTGCCAAATCACGGGGTCCCTGGGTGCAGCACCCAGAGGGCCAGCCTCAAAACCTGCTCTGATCGGCGGAACCTCGTCTGTTGCGAGATCCTCCGGAGAGGGCATCTAGAGCTAAATGGGCTTTAGGGGTGCTGCCCTGCACCCTGAATTCCTGGCCATGGTTCGTTCATTCGTTCATGCATGCCCATAAGGAACGAAGGCTGCGGCTTGAGTGAGACCTGAATGCCAACAATGAGGCTTTTCGTCCTTAATTTACTGGCACTGCGGGGTCCCACTCTAAACTAAGACGCGTCTTATCTGGTCTACAGTTTGGATTGGGAGTCAGTAAAAACTGACTAACAGACAAATGAACACAAACAAGTTTCAAAAGTTAAACAGATAGAGGTGCAAAACGTTTTCCATTTAGTTCATTCCACCCCACTGAGGCCTCCTCTTCAAAATGCATTGTCCACAGTGCATAGTTTTTCACTTTTCACTATTTCAACTACACAAAAATAATTCCATCAGACGTGAAAGTAGGGAAAATTCTAGGTTAAAAAAAAGTAACTGCTTGGCAAAGCTAATCTCTAGTGACAGAGCGGGACAGTGGTTTTCTGATGGAGTGGTGGTTGGGGTTTACAGTCAAAGTAAACCAAACCAAACATACTGTCATTGAGCTAAACTTGACCCATCTCACAGTTATTCAATCGATTTTCACTCGTAGAGAAGTTGTAAAGGGCTTTGGAGTCTGTAATAATAATGGGGTGGCGGCCTCATTTTTGATAAGGGAGAGGTTGATGAGCTTTAACTGCAACTTCGCTGAGCTGTCTAAATGGTCCGGCTGTATTCACACCAAGCTGATTTTGCTCACGGGGTGGGCTTTCCTTCAGCCTGCAAGAGTGACGGGTCACAGATATTGCAAACGGAAGACGATGACTGGAATATTTAAATACCTTAACTATCACAGCAAAGAATTTTAGGACTTTCTTCAGTCACTAATTTTTATATTTATTTGTCTTTCATTTACTTTCTTTTTAAGTTGGGCAGTGATTTCAAACAAAAACCTCTGGCAGTGAGATTTTAGGAAGGCAAAGAAGTCAGAAGAACGCAGGAAGCAGACGACACATGCCTGGACAAGGAAGAAGTCTTTGGAATGTAGAGCAAGGGTCAGATTCTGAGCCTGGCTATCAGACAAGAGTGCCGAGGAAAGAGGACCACTGTAGATATAGTTAGGTTAAAATTTAATAATTTATCATGTATTCTTCCTCTTTGCCTGTTCAAAATTTGTTCTAGCTTTTACTATTTTTTTTCAACTAAGGTTTTTCGATATTTTATTTTGTTATTGCTGTTGTGTTGATTTTTGTTTTATTTTGTTTTGGTTTCGCTTTTGTATGTTTTTCTTAGATAAAACCCTACAGAGATAGTAATGGGAAAAGTAATTTCTTCCCCAAGAAAATGGAAAAAGTAGGAGGGAGAATTGTTGGGAAACTAGGGAGCTAATAATAATAATGAGTACAAGACAGAAGAAAATGTTCCAAAATTTATAATGGTAATGATTGCACAACTCTTTTAATATGATCCAATGATTGAACTGTATGATACTTGAATTATATGTGATTAAAACTGTTAAATTAATATTAAAAAAGGATAGATTCTGGAAGAACTAGAGAAAGGCAAATTGATGGCAATTGGGCTTGCTAAGGTAGAGGGGTAAGGTGACCAAAGACAGTGCAGAGACTTCCCCAGCCATGAAGAGAGAGAGAGAGAGAGAGAGAGAGAAAAGCAAAATGAAGAGTGACTTTTAAGGAAAAAAGTAATGAGTTCAGTTTTATGATATTAAATTTTATATAGTTTAATACTATAACTGTGTGATTAGTATTCCCTCATTGAATATACTAACCATATGAATTTGAGTTTTGATGCACATACATAGGAATTAGCTTCAAAATGCATAAATACAGAAAAATATCCTTTTCCTAGACAAATCGTAAACTAAAGAAGGTAGTTTAAAAATCTCTTAGAAACTAAATTATTTTGCTCCTCATAGTTCAGTCAGACATGCTTAATCTTTAGTTTTAGCCTAAAGATAGTAGAAGAAAACTAAACCTTCCTTGAGAAATCCTATTCTTCTCTGTTCATTGCTTTAAAAGTTAACAGGACTAAATTTTAAAATTATTTTTGAAACTTAATTTCTCTGGTTTGAAAATATTTTCTCAAACTGTTCTTTTCTTTGTATGTTCCTTTTATAAGATTAAAGTGTTCTGATACATCTCATGCTTTTTTATATATCAAAATCATTTATAGTTCCATCTAAAGAAATTTTCATTTTCTAAAGAAATAGATTCAAAATAATTGATATCATTTTGATTCCATTGTAGAGCAAAATGAAACATTTGGAATTTTCGTCTTCTAAAAATGTAATTGTCAGGGAGGGGGGGAAAGCACATTTAAAGAAATATTCTCAAAGGAAAATAGAACTATAAATTTAAACTTTAATCAATGATGCTCACTTGAGGACCATTGAGTTGTTTAACTTTTGAAAGTAATCTTTCAGGGCTTTATTTTCGTCTAAGTGTAACAAATAGAATGAAGCTAAATCACTTTAAGCTGCCTACTTGATTGTGACTTTAATAGAATAAACCAGTGTAAACACTCATTTTGTAATTTCAGATCTTATCAAGTCCATGATTAGTTCTATCTTGGGTCTGTCTATCACATGCCAAATTAAACAGGATTTCCGTGAAAGATTCTTGGACAGGTTGAAGTTTTCTATGGAAAATATTCACTGTGAAGACCTGGATTTAGCTTTTTAGCTGGAGTAGATTTTTAATCTCTTTGGAGACCAGTTTCCCTTCTGTAAAATAGAAATGATAATGCTTGTCTAACTAATTCAAATTAGATTACTGAAGCAAACTATCAGGTGTCTGTTCCTATAACATTCAACACATTGACGTATGATAAAGTAATGCACCCTTTCCTGAGTGTGCTTATGGTGCTCACAGAGACTGACATTGATGGCATATATGATTTATGGACCACCTTCCTGAGAACTATGTGCCCAATATCTAATTCTTTACTTAAACATTAATATATTAGGTGGTTAGTGACTTCCCGTGCTGTAACTCTACCTCTGACAGAGTTGTTATCTGTTGGGCTGCTATCTGCAAGGCCAACAGTTTTAAACCACCAAAATGTACCGCTTCAGGAACCCAGGGATGGTCTACTCTGTCCTACATGGCTGCTATGAGTTGGAATAACTAGATAACTGTGATTATAGACATACCTAGATATAGATATAAATATAGAGATATATGCATATGCACACACACACATATACATACAGATATATCTATGCATATAGATGTATATCTGTATGAGTACATATAAATGTATGTATATATGCATGTAGGTATATCGATACAATAAAGATGCACACTGTTGCTAGGTGTTAGTCCACTTAGCCCAGACATGTAGAAACACTGTGTAGTACAGAATAAAATGGTAGAAGTGTCCTCTACCATGCTCATAATCAAACTAAATGACCGTGACAATTATCCTTATGTTTGAGCCAATTTTCACAGCTACCTGTCAGTCCATCTCATGTGAGTACCTTCCTTTTTTCTCTCTGTCTCTCCATACAAAGCATGATGCTTTCTCCAGCGACTGGTCCCTCCGGATGACATTTCTAAAGGATAGGAGACAAAATCTCACCACTTTAATTCTAAGGGGCATTTTGGCTGTACTTCTTCAACAATTTGTTCCTTCTTCTTATACTTCATAGTATATTTAATATTCTCTTCCAAAGTCATAATTCATAGGTATTGATTCTTCAGTCTTCCATATATATTGTATACACACAGACATACACAAAATATCCCAGATTATAAATAGTAAAACTTATCAAAAATAATTTGTCTTCTGTGAGAGTAGCTAAAAATGTTTGCATGATATGTCTTTTAAGTTTCCAGGTACATTTCATGTTATTATAATAGAGCAAGCGTCATTTATTTGCATTACACTTAAAAGAAAATATCATTAGAACTCAGCTCTTTGTACAGTGTTCAATCAATAAGAGGAGCAATTATTTCCTTGTCTGTCTAGTGTTAAAATTATGATCTATAATTAGTAAAGAGATGCTGCAATGTTCAAATCTAGCTATATGAATGTGTCTTTCTAATTTATAATATTGTTTATTTTGTGTCCGTCAATATTTTGTATAAAAAATAAAATTATAATGTTTTAGCATTTATTTGCAAAATCTAAAAATAACTTCATTGCTTGAACACAAAGCTTATGAATGAAAATTTGTGTTTCTAGAACAGGGATAGGGACATTTGACTGGCCTGTGCTACCAACTACTTCAGGGCAGAGAATAAAAGATCATCTGGTCCTTTCAGAGTATAGATTGGGAGGAGAGCTAAGTTCCTTCACGGCCGGGACATTCAATTGTGTTGTGACCCAATGAAAAATCACGAAATCTTTCCATGATTCTGTTTGACATTAGAAAATCTCCCTGTGTGATGCAGTTTGTTATGTGCTATTGTTTGCATCTTAAAGATGTATAAAGTAGCACATATTTTGGAACTTTTTTTTGCTACTATAGCCATCTCTTCTCTAAGTGTTAAACATTGATTAAGAACTAAGAAGTGTTTTCCTTTACATTAATAACTTTTTATTTGAACTGACTTCCACATTGTATCATTTATTTATTTTTATTGCTTGGTTCTTTAATATGTTAAAAAAAATAGCAAACTGACCTTATATTTTAAAAAGGAGGCACTGCTGAAATAGACCATG